TTATGCCTTTTCACAGACGCAATGTTTTGTTGACGTTCTTTTAGTTAATACAAATTGATCATGCATCATATCAATGGCGCATATGAAAAAGTGCACTCCAACCAGTTATGTCACCCCAAGTTTGGTTGGGAAGTAAACTAATGGCAAGTCAATATGACATGGATGACCATGCCGGCAGATCCTGACGGAATTCTGGAAACATTAACTGTGGTTGTAAGTCTGGATGTTCAACAACCTCATACCCAGGGTTCTCTTTGTGCTGGCCCTGGTAAGAGGTTGGATGTTCAATAAAAGAACGTTGTGCCTGTCAAAAAGGGGAATTGAAGTGCACTGGTCTTTCTTCCTGTTGCGAGTGCACAAGTATTCCCGACGAGAATACAGACAAGAACAATTTGTCAGATGATGACAATGATGGTGGCCTATTATTCGAACTTGATGATGATGACACTGGATTCGATGGCATATTTATAAAATGAAGAACAATGATGGTAATGCACGTAGGTATTATCTGCGCAGTGCAGTAGATCAATATTTATTTACTTATTCAATATTCTCATTCGGATACACAGTAGTTATATTATAAACAAGTATATCCCTTTCATGGATAGTTTTAACAGTATGGTCATGGCTGAGAAGATGAAACGCACTCTGGTGGGGGGAGCTCAAACGCACCCTGCCCCTGGCGCAGTAGCAAATCTAAAGCCTGGTCCTAACTTGTGACATAAGCATTAGCATTAGCAAGCGGAACCTTAGACGTGCATAAGCATAAGACGAACAAAACGTTAGTAAGAGAATTCAAGGTAAAGAAACACCATGGCTTTCTTCAAAAATAAAGTCTCTTATGTACGAACGAGATTACAATCTTAGAAATGCCCGTGCAAATAACTCTGAATTATTTTGGAGTACATATAAGAAGCTTAGAAATACTGTCACAGCTGAAATCCGAAAAGCTAAATCAAATTTTAATAAGAAACTTTTAGAAGAAAACATGGATAACCCTAGCAAATACTGGAAATCTATTAAAAGAATTACATCCGGCAATAAAACCAAGACTAATCCGCCCATACGAGTAAAGTCCATTTTCAATGATAAAGTAACGGAGACTGATGTAGATACAGCTACTATGTTTGGCTTATTTTTCAGTCGAATAGCGGAACGAACCTGTAAAGAATTTTATAAACTGCATCCAGCCTTAACCTCTTTATCCTCAGTCCCGGCTTACATACTCAATTCAAATAATGTTGGACCCAATGTTTTCAACTGTAAAGAAATTGAGATATGTAACATTTACATCATCATCAACATTGAAATTGACTAAAGCCATTGGCCTGGACAGTATTCCAGCAAAGTTGCTTAGAAACTCAGCATCAGTTATTCCGCCATCAATAACCTCACTATTCAACCTATCGTTATCCACATCAACTTTTCCGAGTGATTGGAAATTAGCCAGAATTATTCCCATCTATAAAGGCAAAGCCCGAAACGACCCAAGTAACTATAGACCCATCTCAATTCTCCCAACCCTAACTCCCAACCCTATCAATTTTCGAAAGGGAAGTTCATACTCAGTTAAGCACCTACCTAGAAGCCTTAAACCTTATTTCGGGATCTCAGTTTGGTTTCCATAAGAAGTATTCATGCCGAATGGCTATCACTCTTATATCTGACACTATTAGGAAAAATTCTGAAGCAGGTCTATTGACAGACGGAGTTTTCCTCTATGTTCAAAAAGCATTCGATACAGTTTCACATCTGAAGCTACTCAATAAACTGAGATTCGTTGGAATCCATGATAACGAACTTAATTGGTTTGAGGACTATTTGGGAGATAGGCACATTCAAGTTGGAGTGAACGGTGCATTATGTTCATCATTTCCTGTGAATTCAGGAGTACCGCAGGGATCTATATTGGGACCATTGCTTTTTATAATGCACATGAATGACTTATTCCTTACTCCCTTTAACTCTAACCTGATCATGTATGCTGATGATACCGTGATCTATTTTGCTGCGAAGACCACTGCTGAAATTACCGATATACTAAATGAGGACTTAAAGATCATCGGAGACTGGGCAATCAACAATTAAATCTATCTGCACCAAGGGAAATTGGAATCGGTCCTCTTTGGGACGCACAAATGGAGATCAATAAATCCTTAAAAGTTCAAATTTATGGCCTTGATATAAAGTCATCATTGGTATACAAGTACCCTTGGTCTACATCTTGACAGTGGCCTGACGTATAAAGATCAAATTACGCAAGTAATTATGTTAGTTAATGTCAATGATAACATTTTTTTTAAAGACCCATGTAAAGTCTGTAATGTAAACAAATGCTTTGTTTACCGGTGCATATTTGTCGGATATTCCCTGAAGTGTATTTATTATGTCATGCATGCTTTCATTGACATCACTTTATTTTAATAAAGATATTAAAATTTGTATTTCTGATATCATTTAAGAATAGATCACTATCAAAATGGGTATCCTTATTGATAGGAAGTTTATTAGAAATTGTGCAAAACACAGGCAGGTGGTCTGAAATATCTGTAAGCATATCTGTATATATATATTATATATATATTATATATATATTATATATATATTATATATATATTATATATATATATTATATATATTATATATATTATATATATATATTATATATATTATATATATATATATTATATATATATATATTATATATATATATATTATATATATATATATTATATATATATATTATATATATATATTA